AGATAGATAGATAGATAGATAGATAGATAGATAGATAGATAGATAGAGACAGAGAGAGAGGGGTAGGTAGGCAGGCAGGCAGACCTTTTGGATGAATGTATGGATAGGTAAGTAGGTAGGTAGATAGATTGGTAGATAGATAGATAGATAAATAGATAGATAGATAGATAGATGATTGATAGATAGATAGATAGATAGATAGATAGATAGATAGATAGACAGACAGACAGACAGACAGACAGACAGACCTATATTGGTAGGTAGGTAGTTAGGTAGACAGAAAGACAGGTAGGCAGGTAGATAGGTAGGCAGGCAGACCTTTTGGATGTATGTATGGATGGACGGACAGACAATCAGAAAGATTGCGACAGCGGTGGCACTTTGGGAAAGTAGAGCAAAGCCAGAATGGGAATTGAAGTCCACACAAGTTCCCAAGGTTGAGAAACACGGGCTGAATATATCAACTCAGCCATTCTGGTTTAGAGTTTAGCATGCTGTTTGATTCTGGATTAGTCAATAAACCATGGCTAAGATCTTCCTGCTCCTTAATGCAGCTGCCCCTTCTCCAGCCCCCTGCCCCAGTTCTTTCTTTGGCATCCAATTTTGCAATGCCAGCCTCCCCAGGGCAGCGATGCGGCCGACTTCGCCCTCTGCTTCAACCCAAGGTCCACTTCCATCGGGCCAAGCAAGGGGAGGTACTGTGCACATGCTCATAGACTCCCAACTTCGGGGAAGCCTTCCGCCCATCTTTACGCTCCGCCCGGGAGGAGGAAGGCGTGCGGAAGCAGCCCGGACCAGCGGCGGAGGAGGGAACAATCACTTGGAACAATCACCAACCAAGCAAGTGCAGGGCTCAGTTGGAAGAACCGGGCTGCAGAGGGAGGCTAGGTTCAAGGTCCGGGACAGCCACGTAGAGCCGAACCGAACCGAGCCACGCGCCTTGGAGACCTGCAGCTGCACCCACTCGCATCCTGCACGCAAGCCCGGCTGGCTGGAGAGGAGGAGGCTGGGTGGGCGCTGCGCACTCTCTTGTTCTCCTCTGGGGAAGGGGGCCCTAATGCCAGACCACCCACCCTTTCCACTGCGTGCCTTGGGAGGGTTTTGCTTTCGGGCCTTGTGGTGTGCCTCCGCCGCATCTACTGGAGAGGGCAGCCTGCAAGCTAAGGCGCCTCCTTTCCGCCACCTCCCACCTACCTCCCCCCCAGGCTTGGCAAGGCTCACCGCGCGCAGGTTCCACATTCAAGGCAGTCAATGGGCTGCGTGGCCAGCAGTCAGTGAGCCTGCGGGGCCAGCGCCTCGAACGCCCCCCTGCCGCCTCTTAGCGCCCCCCTGCCGGCCCCCTTGCCTCTTAGCACCCCCCTAAGGCATCCCACCGCCCACTTTGGGAACCACTGCTCTAGATTTACTAAAGTAACTATACCTCCTCTTCCTTCTGCCCAGTAAATGATTCCTACATACTGCCATCAAATTCATCTTCCTTTTATGTCCTCAGCTCAAAATCACAATTGGGACCAGAATTTTAGTTGCTAAGTGATGGGATTGCTAAGCAAAATATAATATGACCTCATTTCTTAGCGATTGCAGTCCATGTTGGCAATTAAGCAGATTTTACTGGTTATTAGCCAAGGACCCATCACAATCCAAGCCATTCTGGACTTGGTTCTTTCCAGTCCCTGGGCATCAGTAAGGTAGAACAGCCTCCAGTTCCTCCCACATGCCTGTTTCTGCTCCCATCTCTGCCCTTTTATCTACCCTGCATTCAGCCATGCAGGGCACTTGCTTGTCATACTCTGATATGCGTCAGCCACCCCAGCTGGGTCCCAGTCATCCTTGCCACCTTACAAATTAAGATCCCTGTCCTCTGTTCCCCCAGCTCACTTTCACCACTGTCTTTTTGTTCCTGTTGATGATGAGATGTGCCTGACCTGGCTGCTTTGCCCTATGGGGTTGACTTTGCATGGTGATAAAGAAAGCAAAACACTTTAAAGAGGGTAGAATACAACAAGCACTGATTTTTTTCCCTATATTCCTGGATATATTCCTGGCATTGGCTTTGTACCAAGAAAAAAAAAGCAGCAGAAATCCAACCTCATATAGCCTAAGAGCACCACAAAAAATGGCATTTTGGTATGCTATTGCCCCTTTAAGCAACTCTGTACTCCCCACCACCACCTTTTTTGCTATGCAAAGCCAGCAATGAGGCCAGGCAGGTCTTATCAGTAGCGAGAGTAAGAACTTGGTTGTGAAGATAAACTGGAGTGTTGAGTACAGGGCAGCAGGTGGGAAAAAGGACAAAGATAGTGGGGGGAGTTCCAGTGCTCCTGCAGATAAGGGTGAGTGAGCTGCCAAATGCGTGAAGTTTTATCACATGATCATGGGGCTCTGTAATGGCCATAGCTTCAGGCACAAGTCCCTTTGTTCCCAGCCATCCTAATTTCAAAACAATCACTGAACAATGTTTCTAAGCTGATACTACCTGCAGATATCTGAGTTTGGGTGTGATATGAGTGAAGAATATGCAGGAGTTACATGTTATACAGTGTGATCTCTGAAGCATTAGGTGAAATATTATATCATTTTAAATATTATTTGGAAGATAATGCTTTGCAGAAATAATTAAAGGAACTCAGCTATTTCCAGGCTTCTCTATAAGCTTGGGGAAATCTCTACTCCATTAAGAAATCCATTCATGAAAATTAATGTGATTCTTAAAGCATGGACATCATTTTTCAGGATTTACAGATGTTTATAATGAGGAATCATTTCAGGTAGTCTGAAATATATAAATTGTGCAGGAGGTTTCAAGCTGAAGACTGCAGGAAAAGACAACCCATTAGCAATAGCACTTAAATAGAAGTAGGGTAAGGAGGACACTGTGAAGACTGGGAAGGGGTAGGCAGGCTAGTTGGATATACTGTAATAATTCAAGAGTGGCAGTAGTGGCAGCTAAATAGAGATGGTGAAAAAGACATTGCTGAGAAGACTTGAAAGAAAGAGCAAGTCATCAAGTTAATTAGTAAGGATAATAGCAACCTAGGAAGGCCACTGGGAAAATCATTTCACTGGGCAGAGAAATGCACAGGTTTTATATTGGGGAAATGAGGAAAGATGCATAGACTTGTTTTACTTGCTTCCTAAAATTTTTCCAGAATTTGGCTTAGCAAAACCCAGAATAACCAAGAAGATCTGAGTTTAGATTAGCCATACTTTGACCTTTCTGGAACAGTTTGACTAAACTTCTGAGCCACAGAGTGTTTCTTTGGGATTCAAAGCAAACATCTGTACTATACTTTCATAAGGACCAAAACATTTTTGTTTGTTTGTTTTGGAATTGCATAATCTTGTTCGAAGATAAGATCATAAAATTAATCTAGAATGGAAGTATACATACATTAGCTGTTACATCATTTGTTAGACCAAATGAAATTTTCATTGTGTTGTGTTTAATAAATTTATATATGTTTTTTTATAGAAATAAAGGACCACAAATTGCTTATGAACGCAGCTTTAGGTGGAAACTAGCTCATTTCCGCTACTTGTGTCAGGTACTATAATACTGTCTAAATTTAAACTTTAAATTTACTTTTATAACTTTTGTGTTTATAGTTGGATTAATCATTTACCTTCTCTCTATAGTCAAATGCTCTACCAAGCCATGTGAAGATCAATGTATCCAGACAAACTTTGTTTGAAGATTCCTTCCAACAGGTAAAATACTGTTAAAATAATAAAGTATGGAAACTAACACACAATATTGCAAAAATAATATCTTTAAAATGACTTAGATTTGTATGTAGGAAATAAAATCTTATTCTAATTAAAATGTTTGAAGGTATTTATTTATTCAGAAGTTCCAGAAGAAAAAATGTTGCCTATCAAATCTATACATTAGTAAGAAACCATTTGTTGTTCATTTTTTTGTTTAGCTTTTTTTTAAGACTGCCTAAGTCCAAACATTTATGGGCAATTTACACTTTAAAATCAGGAACACTTAAACAAATAAAGAAATTGTCATCCAGAAGGAAAAAAAACATTACAGCAGTTTGTAGAACTATAGTGCATATATATATATTTGTAGATTTGTAGATTTTCACAGGTACAGGTATGTAGGTCTAGGTGTGTTCGGGTCTTTTCCTGTGTAAGATTAAGAGTATCTTGGCGACATTTCGGCGAGGTCCCACTTGCCATCCTCAACACATACATACACACACACACATACATACACACACACACACACACAAAAACATAAATTAATTAAAACCAAACATTAAAATCTAAAGACATGTGGAAGAGTTGGGTGGAGTGGAGGGAGGTGGGATTTGTTGTTACTTGATCAACCACTTCTTTGAGTTGTTCCCCTATTGCAGCCCCAAGCCAACTTTTATAGAATTTTATAGAATTTAGAAGACTTAGACTTAGAATAACTTTGAATGTCCTTTGTAACTTTGTCACTTTGAATGTACACTAATCGGCATACATTAAAATGAAATTTTGTATATACCCACATATGACACAGAGAAACACCACAGTCTAGTTTAGATATATACATGTACATGGTGAGAAAAACAAATCTTGCAAGTTTACCAGATGGATGGCATAAGGAACAAAGCTGTTACGGTATCTGGTAGTCTTGCTAGAAATTTCTAATCATTTATATTTGAAAAAAGGAAGATGTACTTGACCATAATGTTTAGACAGAAGATTACCGGTATTTCCATTTTTTTCCTTTTATATGCTTTAGGAATATATTGTTTCTTCACAGAGTAGGAATATCAGTAGGAAGGATCTGACACTGGAGATACTGGTTTTTTTTACAGAAGCAGAGACTAGTACACAGTAAAGTGTCTGGGAACATTACATAATTCCTTCAGTAAAGATGTGCGTTTACTATTCCTTGATAAATGCTGTGGTCTATTTATTTGTCCTTGATGGCAGTGTGTATGCTGAATGTAGCTTTATGGTTACATCTTTTCAATAATCGCATGATGGATAACGTACTCTGATTGTTCCGAGTGGGAGTAAATACTATAGAAAATTGGAGATGGTGGTTACATGAATTAAAAACAAACAAAAAGTACAAACTATCTTTGAAGCATTAAAACATGCTAACATTTTAATTTCTAGAAATAGAATGCAGTTCCATTTGAAGAATAGCAATTGGATATAACGCTTAATATATTGTATGTTTTATGTTTTTCTATAATTTTCCTTCTAATATCCAGTGGTACTTTTTGCTTGATTTATTATTTTATTTACAGATCATGGCTTTAAAGCCTTATGACTTAAGGAGAAGATTGTATGTCATATTCAGAGGAGAGGAAGGGTTGGATTATGGAGGTTTAGCCAGGTAACAGTACTTCTTGAAATCTCATTACCTTTGTCAAGCTATTTAAAAACATTAATAATAATAATAATAATTT